TCGGGGTATGGGAGGGCGGGGGAGGGTTTTAGGGTGTGGGAGGTGTGGGAGTGGGTGGAGGTATGATTGTGGGTGTGGGTAGAGGGATGGGTGGTGTGGGTGGTAGTGTGACCATGGGAGTAGGAATGTGATCGCGCCCGGCCACGAGAACGGGCGAGCGGATGTACGGACAACGAGGCGAGGGCGGGTGGATGCAGGAGTTGACTGGACGAATGGGACGGCCCACCACCGTGCGAATGTCCGTGCTCAGAGGGGTCGGGGTCGTGCTCCGAGTCTGCGTCCGACGCGTGCTGGTTCTCGCGCTTTTGGCTTTGTCGTTGCGCTTGACGCTGCTCTTGTCCTTGCCGCTGGGATTGACTCCGCGGGTCCTCGGTCTGCCCATTCGGAGACGCTGGTGGGCGGCCCGCAGCTGAAGGTGTTGCCAAAGCTGATGTCGAGGCAGAAGCAGACGCAGACAAAGGCATAGGCACCCCCACCGGCGCAGATATCGACGGCGAGAGGCCCATCGCCACCGACGCAGAGATAGATGGCGACAACCCCATCGCTGCGATCGCATCGGGCACGAACTCGGACACGATGGGCGGTACGAAGTGCCGGTGCAGGATCTGGAGGATCGAGTTGAATGCTGTATGGATGGATGTTTTGTGAGTAAGTCGTTTTTTGAAGGGTAGGTCGAGAAAAGGGAGGGGTAGTGCGGAATGGGGATGAAGAGAATGAGGGCACGATAAAAAAAATTACACAAGACAGGAAAGAAATGAAAATTGGGGTCGAATTAGCAAACCCGTTCATTCGCTCGCTCGCTCGTTCGTTCATTCGTGCGTGCGTACAAAGTCGAATGCGCTCCAAAGTTTGATCCACGTCATGCACGAATTGGATCAGTTCCCGGTTGAAGATGTCGAACCCCTTCGCTCGGCCCCTTCGTTCGACCCCAGAAAAAACGACCCAGAAAAAAAGGACCCAACAGAAAAAGACCCAACAAAAAGTACCCAACAAAAACGACCAACAAAAAACGACCCAACGAAACAACGACCCAGAAAAACGACCCAGAAAAACGATCCACCAAAACGACCCAACAAAAACGACCCAACAGAAAAAAAGGACCCAACAGAAAAAGACCCAACGAAAACAACCCCAGAAAAACGACCCAGAAAAAGGACCCCCAGAAAAAAAGACCCAACAGAAAAAGACCCAACAGAAAAAGACCCAACAGAAAAAGACCAACCCCAGAAAAAAAGACCCAACAAAAACGACCCAGAAAAACGACCCCAACAGAAAAACGACCCAGAAAAAGGACCCAGAAAAAGGGCCCAAAGAAAACCCCCCCAGAAACAAGACCCCAACAAAAAGTACCCAAAAAACGACCCAACAAAAAAGGCACAACTCAAAGACTTCGACAAACTCACCAATTTCGTTCCCCATATCGAGCACGATCCACTCGCCCCGCCCGCGTTCGCGCTCTTCTTCGCGTCTGCGTGGGGTTCGTGCTCTCTCCCTGTCCCTGTCCCCTCCAACACCCACCCTATCTGCACCCAACCGATCTGCACCCAACCTATCCCTGTCTCGATCTACACCGCGTTCCGCCGGCCGCTCGCGGTCCTTCGCGTTAGCATTCAAACTCGAGCCAGCACCCAAACCCGCTCCCAGACCGGAAGTGAGCACCGTCGGTCTCTGGGGCTTCTTCCCCTCCTTGCCCTGCCCTCCATCCTTACTCTGCACTTGCCGGGCGCTGGTACTCATGCTCGTTGTCGTAGCGCCCTGCCTATCCTCCCGCCCCTCCCTACCATCCCTCCCCTCAACATCCTTAAACCTCAACCGCGGCTCATACCCTCCATACCTATACCCCGTCCTTTTATATCCCAAACTTGGGTCCTCCGACCACTCCTCCTCCCCGAGGCCCGGGGACGCGTCGTCGTCGTCGGTGCTCCGTGCGAAGACGGGTGAGGAGAGGGACATTGAGGAGTCGGAGTTGGAGGAGGGGGATGCTGGTCGACCGGAGGGTTGGAAGGGGTGCGTTGAGAGGGGTTGGAGAGGGAGAGGTTGGCGTTGTGTTGAGGGCCCGACAAGAGGGTGGGTGGAGGTGGGGGTGGAGGTGGAAGGACCGGGACCGGGTGTGGAAGTGGAAGGGAGAGCGGTGGAGAGCGCAGGTGTTAGCGTTACCGCGGGCGTTTGTGCCGCCGTCGTTGTGGCCGTAGTTGGCGCTGCCGTCGCCGTCGCCGTCGGATAGTCGACATACTCCAACCCACCATCCTCATCTTCCTCATCCGCATCCTCCTCCGTCGTCGTCCCATTCCGTACGCCCGGGCCGAGTCTTTCCAGCTCAATTTCTTCCCTTTCTTTCCCCTTATCCTTCCCTCCTCCTCCTCTCCTGCGTCCAATCTTCCAACTCAACCCACTGCCCACCCCAACCTCCTCCTCCTCCTCCTTCGCCTTCGCCTCCTCCTTCCTTCTCCTCTTCTCCTCCTTCTTGCTTTCCTTCTCCTCCCGCTTCCTCTCTTTCTCGCGCGCCTTCTTTTCTTCTTTGTCTGTGAACCTGTCTTCTCCTTCTCTGTCTCTCTCCTTATCTCTCCCCCTCTCCCCATCCTTGTCGACACCACCCTTCTCGCCTTCTCTATCCTTGTCCCTGTCCTTGTTCCGTTCCCTGTCCTTTTCGCGCTCCCGTTCCCTGTCCTTGTCCCTATCCCTATCCCGACTCCCAAAGAACCCACCCATAAAACTGCCCCCTCCTCCACCTAGGCCCCCAGCACCGAAACTCGACCCACCAAAGCTCACGCTCGACGCAGCAGGCGACACGCCCGCGCCGCCAAGGCCCAACCCGAGGCTGGCGCTCAGCCCGCTCAGGCCTGGTATGCTCGCTTTTCTTGACGCGTGGTGCAGGTGGCTATGGCCGTGGCTGGAGGTTGGTCCATGAGGTTGAGCAGATGATGAGGGTGTGGGCTCGTCTGTGCCTTGGAGGGTGGTTGAGGAGGCGAACGAAAGCACCTGCGCACTAGGCGTCGCACTAGCACTCGCGCTCGCGCTCGTCGATCCATGGGGTCTCTGGGCTTCGGAGCGTTGGTCGATCAAGACAGCAACGTCGCCCGCCAGACTCGGTCCCGTGCTCGTGTACCGCCTGCCATCCCGCCCGGCGTCGATATGCAGCTGGACGTGGCCGTCGTCGCCTGCTGCTGCTGCTGCTGCCCCTCCTTGCCCAACATCGCGTTGAGCTCTTCCTTGCTCCTGCCCCTGCACCACCGCCTGAACAGAGCTCGACGCACCACCACCACCACCACCACCACCAAGAGCCTTGACGACCGTAAACCGCGCACACACGATCTTCATCCCCGCCGCTTCCGCCTCCTCGCGCGACGCAGGGATGTACGTCCGGTCGTTCGCGCGGGCTCGCTCTCTTTCTTCCCTCTCGCGTTCCTCTCTGTCCCTCCTGTCTCTGTCCCTCTCCTCTCTTTCCCTCCTCTCCCTCTCACCCCGCTCCCTCCGCTCCCTCTCGAGCGTCTTGGCCCTCGCCTCCTTCGCGCGCTCCATCCTCTCCGCGCCCGTGCCCGTACCCGCGGCGCTCTTCCCACTCCCGCTACCGCTCTTCCCACTCCCACTTCCACTGGCTTTACTCCCCGCCACACTCGCGACACTTCCATTGGGACCAGCGGTGCTCGGGCCGGCCTCCCGGTCCCGATCACGGTCGGCCCTATCCCTCTCCCTCTCGCCGTCCTTCCCCTTGTCCTTGTCTTTATCCCCGTCGCGCTCGCGTTCCCTATCCTTCACCTTCCTCCTCTCCCTGTCCTCCCTTTCT